TGAATCCGATGTTTGTCTTGAAACAGTTTTGGCATTCGTCAAACTTGGAGTGAAATTAGAATATTATTGGATCATTCTGAGCAGTGTTGACTTTAAAATTATTGCGTTCGTTTTTGTACAGAACATTTAATCGTTCGTTAACGACTGTCACCAAACGATACGCGAATATTTGTCCATTCGTTTGCTCAGAATACCGTTCGTCTTCGGCGCGGATTAAGCAATACGACTGGCGAATGTACGGAATGCCGCGTTGTTGTTCATTCACACGAAATATTATTCTCATGTAGTCATATTGTGAAATTTTGTGATCGCCTTTGATGTGCTCCCAGGATAAAATTAGTTTGTGTTGCAGCAATAATATCGACGATGAAGAGGAGAATTGTTCGAAAAGCGCAAAAAATTTGGAACAAACTTGTGGGAAAGGCAAACGAAAGCAGCCAGCAAACGAAGATGAAGATGGTAAACGGAGTAATTTTGTGATAGATCGCAAAATGATCAAACGTACAATTGTCGCACTGTTGGAGACATTCAGCAAATTTAGGACACCGAAAACGATTTATATGGAACGTGAAATACGACAATTATATGATCAGGTCTGTTCTTTTCTCCAAANAAAACGATTTATATGGAACGTGAAATACGACAATTATATGATCAGGTCTGTTCTTTTCTCCAAACAAAACTTTATTTTTGCTCAAATAGTCAACATTTACATTTTATTCATGCTGAATGTTTGACACAGGTGGTTGTGTTGCTGACGTTAATGTATACGGATGCTTTTTGAAGTCGATTACAGCTGTGTGATTTCATTGGATAAATAGGGTTTGATAGAGCAGTTTCGAAGCAATCGTAGCTTGAAGTAATGATGAATCAATTTCAGCTCCTATTGGTACCAGATGAAGCAATTCAAAAAGCAGTCATCAAGTGTCTCCTCGCCTACAAATATAAATTCCTTACACCTTACAAGTTAGTGTGCTGGTTATTCGTGAATTTTTAGTTCTCAAAAAATTTCTTTACTCAATAAAAGTTTTGAAAACGAGTGTACATGTTGGAGAACGTTTCACCAATTCAAAATGTTTACGCTGCGATTTTTGTTGTGTTATCAGTCGATCGTTTGATAGGGGTTTGGTGGTTATGATGCGAGTTTCAGAGAGAATTTCGAGAACGTTGTAAGTGATAGAACGTTTCTGAATGAACTGA